TTGGTGCCTTGATTGGCAGCTTTCTCTCTCCGTGACATTTCTCTGTTTCCAATCAGTGTTTCCAGGGGTCACTCCCCAAATAACCTACTTGTCTTTGAGTCATTGTCTCAAAGTCTGTGTTAATCTGCTAGGGTCACCCAACCACATGCTAGGGTCACCCCAATCATGTGTCTGTCCAAAAGTTTGTGTGTTAGAAACTTGATCCCCAAATTCACAGGTCAACAGTGTTTGGAGGAGGGGGCTCTGGGGGTGATTAAGATTAGATGGCATGGCGGGGGGGTCCCAGGATGGCATTAGTGGCTCTATCAGCAGAGGAAGAAATTGGAGACAGAAGCCTTGAACTCTTGCCACAGGACGCCCTCCACCACGTTATGCAACAAGACGGTTCCCAGATGCAGCGAGGGCCACGCTCCTGGACTCCCCACTCCCAGCACCACACCGAAGGCACCTCTGTCCTTTATAGATTGCCCAGTATGTAGAATGCAGCTGTCACAACTGGAAACAGACTAAGACAAAGTGCCACAGACTTGGTGCTTCTTACAGAGCAACAGAAACGTACTGTCTCACAGCTCTGGAGGTCAGAAGCCCAGGATCAAGGCTGGGCAGGCCGGTTCCCTGGGAGGCATCTCTCTTTGGCTTGTGAATGTCTGACTCTTCCTGTGTCCTCAAATGATCTTGTGCATGTGTGTCCAAATCTCCTCTTCTTATAAAAACACCAGTCATATTGGATTAGGGGCCACCCCATGACTTCATCTTAATCTAATCACCTCCAGAAAGAGCCTTTCTCTAAATAGTCACTTTGGGTACTGGGCTTCAACATATGAATTTGGGGAGGAGGGACACAGTTCAGCCTATAACAGCCCACTTCTGGGGAACTCAAACTATGACGCCCCCTTTCTTACAAACAAAAGATTCACACCTATAAGACAGGTACTATAATACCCGTCTGTTATTGAGATTGAGCCTGTGGGGCTCTGCCTCCGCCTGGGGGTGCCTGGTAGATGGCAAATGCTCAGAACACATGGACGATGGATGGGTGGACGGATGGATGGGTGCCTGGGTAGGTGGGTGGGTGGATGGGTGAATGTATGGGTGGAAGGGTGGGAGGGTAAAACAATGGATGGGTGGGTGATGCAGATTAGCCATCCAGGTTCTTTTCCGGTTCCTGGGATTCCAACCCCTCTCCTCTGAGGCGTCCCACACACCTCCCTGTGCAGCCATCAGATACACGCGATACATAGCCTCCTCTACTCGTGAGTAACTCCCGGGTAGCTCCCCACTGGGCCACCCCTCCCTCCCTTCCTCCCCTCCTCTTCTTAGCAGAAGCCCCTGGTGGATTTTTCAGGCTGAATAAAGACAAGACTGGAAGGAACCAATGCAGGGAACGGGCGGGAGAGAGTGAGAGTGGCAGGTCTGACGTCAGCAGCAGAAGGTGCTGGGGACAATGGAAGCTTGGACCCCGGGTGACACAGAGAACAGTGCGCTAGGGCAACCCAGCCATAGTCACTCTTCCATTCATTCAAACATTTAATGAGAAACTACTAGGTGCCAAGCCCCGTGCTTGGGCAGGGGACCCTGCAGGATGACAAAGACACTCAGGTCCTGACAGGTGGAATGAGGGTCAGGAGAGTGGAACGGGGAAGGCACCGGAGCCCAGAGCAACAACAGGCACTGGAGCTGGTCTGGATCTGGGGGCCGCAGTGAAAAGGAGCCAGCCAAGCACGGATGGCAGAGGGGCTGGGACGGGACCAAGCACGGATGGCAGAGGGGCTGGGACGGGACGGACCCCCTGCCCAGCCCCAGGCAAGCCGTGCTCTCTGCAGAACATTTGGAAAAATCCCGGGCAGGCAGTGAGTCCTGGAGCACAGGGGAGGGATCCAGAATCCCTGCGCGGAACACCAAGGGCCTGCGGGGCTCCCCACAGGCTCCCCGAGCCCCCGAGAGCAGTGTCCCGGGGAAGAGCTCAGGGTGGCTCAGTAGATGGCCACATGCAGCCCTTCCCAGCAGCCTCGTGGGCCAAGGGCCAGCACCCCAGCTGCCACATTGCACGTCCCACCGTGGGAGAGAGGAGGGAGCTGCCTGTCACCAGGGGTGCGCGAGCGAGGGCCGGGGAGGGGCTGTCTGAAGGGTGAAGGGGCGCGGCAGGCCTGAGTGAGCGGAGGGGGAGGCATCAACCCCTGCAGCTCAGAGGCTCCAGCTTCCTTCCTCTACCAACCCGCCCACGGGCACACCCTGACTGACCCGCACTGAGCCCTGATTGCAGGGCAGACAAAATGTCAGAAATTTCCCCCAAAGATGGAGGGAGGGGTTTTTGTGGGTGGTTTTGCGATTCCTCTGTGACTTACCCAGAAGCGCAGGGTCAATAAAACTCCAGCAAAATGCCCCGCCCACCATCCAGGCACCGGGTGCCACCTCCGGGACCGCACCTGGGAGAGGGGAAGTGGTGGGAGGAGCCCCTTCCTAAGCCACAGCTTCTAAGTGCAGGGCACCTGGGACCAGGATGTCACTCCCCCTGCACCTGCTCCCTGTCAAGGCTGGAATCCAGGGGACACGGGGGTGGGAAGGACTCTCTCTCTCTCCTGTGGCTGGGATGGTGGGGTCCCTGGGGGTTCACAGAGAACTATGGGTCACACCAATCCCAGGGACGGGGGCCAGGGTGGATCACCAACAAGAAGGGCTGAGGAGATGTGTGTGGAGCCACCCCCCAGTACTGGGCTCTCGAGAAGGCCCCCAAGGAAGGGGATGCTGGGATTGCAGCAGGTGTAGATGACAGGAGGGGACAGGCATGTCTTAAGGCCCAGAGGCTCCGAAACACCCAGCAGTTCCCAGAGAAAGAGCTGGAAAGGTGAGAAGTGGCCTCAGTATAAGACATTTGCTGGCTGGGCAGCTGGGTAGGTGGGCAGAGGGCAGGGGATGGGTGGGAGGATAATGGGAGGGACTGAATTGCATAGCCCCCCAATTCAGATATTGAAACCCTAACCTTCACTGTAACTGTATTTGGAGACAGGAGTTCAGGAGGTAATTAGGGTTAAATGAGGTCATTAGGGGCGGCGCCCTGATCACATAGGACTTGTGGCCTCATAGGAAGAGGGGGAAGAGAAGAGACAAAGACAGAGGCCTCCCCACTATCAGAAGGCAGCTGATCGTAAGGCAGCAAGAGGGTCCTCATCAGAAACCGAGGCCTGGGGCTGGGGTTGTGGCTCAGTGCATGTGTGAGGCTCTGGGTGCGAATCTCAGCACTACATATAAATAAATAAAATAAAAGGTCCATCAACTAAAAAAAATATTTTTTTTAAAGAGAGAGAGAGAGAGAGAATTTTTTTAAAAAAATATTTATTTTTTAGTTTTCAGCGGACACAACATCTTTGTTTGTATGTGGTGCTGAGGATCGAACCCGGGCCGCACGCATGCCAGGCGAGCGCGCTACCGCTTGAGCCACATCCCCAGCCCCTAAAAAAAAAAAAAATATTTAAAACAAAAGAAAGAAACCAAGGCCTACTGGAATCTTGATCCTGGCCCTGCCTCCAGGGGAAAATGACTTGCTTAGGCCACCTGTCTGCAGCCTTCTGTGACGGCAGCCGGAGCAGACCAATACGGACGGGCAGGCAGAACAGGGAGCAGGGCAAGCTGGGGGACCTGTTCAGCACTGAGGTCCCCAGCACTGAACCCAGCACGAAGACCCTCGTGACATCATCCAAAATCAACACAAAACCATTAAATATGGCAACAAAGTCCAACGAAGTCCCACTTTCCCTCCCATGATAACTACTTTGAGTTGTCTTTGGAAATAGAAAGTATCAAATGTTCCCCCCAAACACTTGTGTCTGTCCTCTGGCGGCTGATGTGCATGCTGGGTCCAGATCTCACGGGAAAGTTAAGAGGCCACAGGTCTGGGAACGGCCTCACTAGGTTCTTGCCCAGCTGGCGCCACATCCCCTCTGCCTCCTACCTGTGTATCACAGCCTGTGGCCACCCTCCAGCAGCATGCCTGGCAGGGCACAAGAGTGGGCAGATGAGCCCCACCTCCTCGTGTTCAGGAAGCCCTCCAGACAGCAGCTGCCCACTCCCAGGGTCCTGCCCTACTCAAAGCGAGTGGCAGTTCTAATGCACGAGTGACAAGTCACGTACAGGGACTTCCTCTCTGTCGAAATGAAGGTCTCTCCCGCCCAGTGGCAATCTCTGTTCTTGAGGTCAGAGACCACACTGCAACTTCATCACATGCCCAGCCATCTGAGGTCACTGCTTGCGCCTGGGGACTTTTGATAATAACCACAGGGGGACCAAAAGGCCCCGTGACCCTGTTCCATTTGCTCACCTCCTTGGCCTGAGCATCATTTGAAGAATGTTCCAGAAGGATTTCCTGATCATCTGCCACCGTTTTGGGGGTGAGTGAGCATTCTAGAAAGCCAGCTGTGGTCAAGCAAGCTCTGTTCCCCTAGAAATTTGTAGTCCAGGTGTCCAGGTCACCCTGGGACAAAATGTGTGCTCCGCGCTGCAGCAGACACCAGAGAGGGCTTCCAGACCCCAGGAAGAGGGACAGTGGAGGAATGGTGACAGTCCAGGCCCTGGGGTCACGAAGCCCCAGGCTGCAGCCCCAGATGGCTCCACCCTGCCCCAGCTCTGTGACCTGGGCACTTTACTGAAGCTTGCCGAGCCCCAACGGCCTCAGCTGCAAATGGGACTGGTAAGGGAAAGTGGTGACCACTAAAGAAACAGCCCACGGGTCTCAGACTAGTGTACATAGGGCAAATGTCCAGGGAGGGGCAGCTGTAAATTAATAACAGACCCCCATACAGATGGACTTGCTTCTCTGCACCAGCAGCACACCTAGCCTGATTCCACCAGTCTGACCCTTCAAGAGAGGCCGGATTCTGTGACATTAGGGACAGTGCTCAGAAACCTGTAGCAATAATGACAATGATTGTCAGCTCCCATTCTCTCAGCGGTCACAACCCTGAAGACAAAGATGCCCCTTCCCCGCCCCCAGCACGGCCACTCACCTGGGGGACAGCGGTAGCAGCACGCTCCGGCAGCCTCGTCGTAGTAGCGGTTGGGGTCTCCAGCACAGCCGGCCTTGAGGGGTCGATCCTGGAGGGTGAGAGAAGCTGGTGAGGCCAGGCAGGTCCCAGATGTCCAAGCTCCTTCCAGACCCGGGATGCCTGGAGTGCACCTGCTGCCAACCAGGCCTGAGACTCAGCTCACGTTGCAGAAGAGAAACTGGAGAGAATTTCTGTTGCACATCCGCATCAACCCCACTGCTTCTGGGGGTGATGGCAACTCGCGACCAGGCCGAACACCTGGGGCCTCCTGTTCTCCCCTCCTCTCCCACTCACAGACAACCCTCCAGCAAATTCTCTTGGCCCTCTTGGGACCATGACCCCACTCCCTTCCCTAAATTAGCATGGCTGCCTCACACTCGGTCTCTGGGTTGGGCCCAGCAATAAAAATTCCTAATAAACTTATTGATTAAGGGTGGGAGGTATAGTTCAGTGGTCAAGTGCTTGCCTAGCACATGCAAGGCCCTGGGTTCAATCCCCAGCAGCAAAAGAAGTGTCAATTGAAGTCTGACACAGCCCCAGAGAAGTGCACAGGTCCCAAGTCCAGAGCCCTCTGTCCTTAGACGGGTGAACACAAGGTGTACCCAGAGGAGGACCTGGCCCCCCCACCCCAGCACACTCCTCATGCCCTTCTGGAAAGGAACCCATTAGCCTCACCTCTACACCAGAGATGGTTCAGTCTTGTCTGCTTTTGAGCTTGATTTAGGTGGAACCATACAGTCTGTTTTCCTGTACCTGGTGTCTTTAATTCGACATTTTTTTGTTATTTTGTTTTGTTTTGTTTGATGGTACTGGGGATTGAACCAGGGGTGCTTTACCACTGAGCTACATCTCCGCCCCTTTTTCCTTTTGAGACAGAATCCCTCTAAGTTGCCCAGGCTGGCCTTGAACTTGCGATCCTTCCGTCTCAGCCTCCTGAGTTGTTGGGATTACAAGCATGCACCACTGTGTCCAGCTTAATTTGACATTTTATTGTAAGAATCACACCCATTGCCGTGGCTGTGTGGTATCACAAAGCAGGAATGAGCACAATTTATCTGTTCTACTTTGGAAGGACATTGGGTCCTTTCCACATTTTGATAATAATGATGCTTCTGGGGACATTCTTGTACATATATTTTGGTGCCCAAGTCTATGCATGCTGTTGTGCACGTACGGGGGAGTGGGCTTTCTGGGTCATGAAGTGTGCGTGTGCTCAGCTCTGACAGTCTTTAAACTACTACTCCCAGGGGTGTCTAACTGTCTATACCCCGGGAGCGCTTGGTGTTGTTGGTTTTTAAAACTCTACTCAATTTGGTGTCTGTGCAGTGATCTCCTTGTATTTTAAATCTGCATTTCTCTGACGAGTACCTTCGTTGTATACCTTTTCCTGTGTTTATTAGGTATTTTATTTTTTCAGAGTTGGGGAGAGAACCCAAGGCTTTGCCCATACTGGGCAAATGCTCCATCCCTGAGCTACACCCCCAGCCCACGTTAAGCATTTAGATATATGGTTAAAACCACCATGTAAACAAGCTGGGCCCTGGGTGACAGCCCTTTTCCACAATTCTGGGTAGACTGTGTAAGTCCGCGGCTTGCCAACAGGGGGTGCTGTCCTCTGGCTTTCCAGAGAGGCCGGGCTCTCAGCCAGGATGTCCAGCACCTGCTCCTCAGAGCCCCATGAAGGAGGGAGAGGAGGACGGGGAGCCCCATTTTCCATGTGGGGGTTATGGAGGAAGGGACTAGCCCCAGGTCCCCGCAGCCATTCCCAGAGACATTGGTGGGGCCCAGGTCGGGGCACAGCTCTACCAGGCCCCAGATGCCCCAGGCCCCAGAGAGCAGCTTCTCCAGCAGAGACACTGGGGGATCTTTTGTACCTGTGATGTCATTTACAAGAGCCCAGAAAATGGGGACAAGCCAAGGGACACTTAGTGTCTAGAAGTGATGCATGTAGCAGTGGCAGAAGCCAGGCCCGGTCCATGAGGCCTGTTACCATGGAAACCAGCTCCCCCGGCTGCCCAAGATCACCCTGCATGCCAGCTTGCGGTCAACTGGCTCTAGCCACAGCCCAAGAACATCGAGCCCCTATTCTGGGCCAGGGGCAAATGGAAACCCGAACTTCCCTTGGGGACCTGTCACCCCCAGAAGGGACAACCCATCTTCCCCAGATATCCCAGCATATAAACTAGAGAGAAATGGCCCCAGGGACCCTGAGCCTCCCCCTGGCAGCACCGCCTGGGCCCAAAGCTGGCCTGGCCTCATGTCAAGCATAGATAGCTTCCACCCCGGCCCTGTGCCTGCCCTCCCCTGCTGTGTCCCCAGCTGTCCAGGCACAAGCACCCTCCTCAGCCACCCCGTCCCAGCAGAGCGGCAGTGACAGCCTTGGCGTCTGCAGCGTCTGGGGAAATTTGAAGCTTTAGACGTTAAGGACCTAAATAACAACAGAAGAAACAGGGACCCACCCTTCCCCGGGGCTGTGCGCCCAGATGCTGAGGGGCCCATCCACTGCTTCTGCCCCTGGGGAAAGGGGTGACCGGCTGGGACTTTGCACTGGCTCCTGCCTGGGAGGGGGGTCAGGAAGGGAAGAGTGGGAGGGGGAAGCCCGAGGACTGGCGGGGGGCTTTTGGGTGGGGTTCCCCGGCAGGTTGGAGGCCAGGCAAGGTGTCCACAGGGTGCTGAGCTGTGCAAGGAGAGACCATGGTCCAACCCGAGCGGCACCGAGAGAGAGGGCCGGAACCCTCACGGGGCCTATTTTCAGGTTCGTTTGGTTTTCCGGGTTAGACCTGGTAAATTTCACTTTCAACAAGCCCCACCTGGTCCCAGCCAAGAGGAAAAGGGGCCGGGCCACACCTGTGGGAGCCCAGAGTCTGAGGCCGGGGTGGGGTCAAATGCGAAATCCCCAGAGGGGCCACAGTGGAGGTGGCGAGTCCCCACACCTGATCACCCAAGGTGAGGAGCTGGGACCAGCAGCCACCAACCGCATCAACCTGGAAACTTGCTCCGAAAGCAGAATTCCAAACCGCGAGCCAGGTGCCGCCAGTGGAATGGGGACCTGCATTGTAACAAGATCCCGAGGGGCGTCAAAGGTACTTTAAAGTTTGAGGAGTGCTGGAAAGAAAGCAAGAGATGCCGCATGGATTGCTTCTGGCAAGAGAAGTTCTGGGGATTGAACCCAGGGGCACTTACCCACTAAGCCACAACCCCAGCCAGTTTTACTTTTTATTTTGAGACAGGGTCTTGTAAATTGCTTAGGGCCTCTCTAAGTTGCTGAGGCTGGCTTTGAACTTGTGATCCTCCTGCCTCAGCCTCCCAAGCTGCTGGGATGACAGGCGGGCACCACCGCACCTGTCCAGGGAAAGTAATTCTAACAGCCAGCAACTATCAGCCCATTTCACAGGCAAACGAAAACACAGGCAGGTTAAGAAACCTGACTTTAAGTCACCCACATGCCACAGCCCAGCCAGGGTTTGGACCCATCTTGCACACACCTTACCCACCAGGCTCTGCTGCCAAGCGTGGAACCCACCCAGGCCCCAGAGGTGGACTCTCTGAAATTCCTCCTCTCCCTGCCTCCCCTGGTCACTGGCTGTGTCTGTTTAGCTGAGGTTTGACATCCACCAGCTCGTCCTCACCTCCCTGCCCTCTTGACGTGACCCCCTGTGGCCACCTGAGGGTCTCCTCCCACCCTCCAAGTTCCTGCACCCCACTCACGGAGAAGATGCCAGAGGAGTGTTTTGAAAACATGAATCTGATCTTCCCTCTACCCGGGGAAGACACGCAGACCATTCCAGCCCAGCTGTGAATAAAGACCTGACCTTGTCCAAGAGGCCCTGCCCTAGCTGCCCTGCCCTCCACTCGCTGGGCACCCCTGGCACCCTCTCCCTCTCCCCATTCCCCACTGGCACCCCACGTGCTCCCTCCAGGGTCCAGCGCACACTGTTCCCCTGGCCACCCCATGCCCCTCACCTGGGGCACCCCAGCTCACTCGTATGCCACCTCCTCAGAAAAGCCCTCCCTGGTCACCCCGTCCAGCTGAGGCCTCAGCAGGCTAAAGGCAAGGCGTCAGCAGGCCACATCCTTCCTCGCCCACCCGGCTGTGGGCAGTGCCCCGGGCTACAGGCCTGGGTCCCGCTGCCCCGCTGGCCGCCTGCTGACACTGCTGCAGGTTCTGGAGGCTGCCTTGGCCCAGCCGTGGTGTGGAGGCTCCATCCCCCAGACAGTTCACATGTTGTCACCTGGGTCCCCAGTGTGGTGACGTTGGGATGTTGGGGGAGCTTTGAGGGTGAGGCCTAGAGAAGGTGATTAGGGTGTCGAGGGGTTGGCACTTCCCTCGTGGGGGCACATTCTGGTGGCCCCACCAGAGCAGACGGTTTTGAAAAGAACAAGCCCTGTTTGTGAGGTCACTGACTTCCTCCCTGGCACGGGTCGTTCTCCTGCAGGTGGCTGTCTCCCCTTCCACCTCTCCGCCATGTTACAACACAGCTGGGGGGGAGGAGGGCCCTCCCCAGGGCACTGCATCGCGCTGTTTGGACATTCCAGTCACCAAACTCACGAGCCAAATACACCTCTTTACTCAGCCTCGGGTGTTTTGTTATAGCAACGCATCGCAGTCTGATACAGCCCCTTCCTCCATCTGCAAAGCCAACAATGGTGGCTGTACCCTCTCACCTCACTTCTCTCTTCTCCCACATCATCTCTCTAACACAGCCAGGAAGGACTCTCTGCTTTTAAGGACTTGTGCAATTAGATCAAGGTCACCCTGACAATCCATGACAGTCTCTCCATCTCAGGATGGTTGCCCATCACTCTCCACGAAGATCTTTTTGCCATGTTAAGGTGACAGCCTCAGGGCTCCAGGGATTGGCATGTGGATGTTTAGAGGACAGTTATTCTGCCAAGCACCAGGCTGATAGGTAGCCACCAGACTACACCACAGCTTGCTGGGCTTCGTCACCTGATCCTAGGAGGCTCTGAACCCCTCTCTCCACCCCCCAGCACTTACCTGAACACCTCACCAAGAGACCCCTGAACTGCATCATCCTGCCCCACCTT